CTGAACCGTGGAGCTCATGAGGTTGAGACTGGTTTGGGGCAGGAGGTTGGGGGCCAGATTTGTAGATGCCTTGAACTTAGACTAGGGGATTCCGAATGTATTCTGTGGGCAACTAGGGCTATGGAATGCTTAGAAACATTTTTTAAAACAAAGAAGTGACGGATCCAAGCAGTGCTTTGGGAAAATGAATTAGGCTGCAGGCTGGGAGATGGAATAGACAGGAAGAGGCGGTCCACAGAGAGACCAGCCAGGAAGTTACGGCAGTAGTTCAGGCAGGGGATTGTGAGGCTCTAGACTTGGGCCTGGAGCCCAAGATGGAAAGGGCCAAGTGGGAGGAATCCTAGAGGCAGAATGTGCAAAACAGAACTTGATCTGGAGACAGCCCCCCCGCCCCCACCCCTCACCGCTGGGAAGGAACAGGTAGCAATGACAGGAGAAGGGGAAGCAATGAGTTCACTTCTTGCCAGTTGAGGCTAGAAGAAAAAGGGAGCTGGAGATGGCATGAAAGGGAGGGGGAAGACTAGATGGCCAGGTCCCTGAGGGGCTGGGAGTGTATCTAGTGATTCTTTGTATTTTCAGTAAAGGACCTAATACACAGTAAGTGTGCCAAAAACATTGAAAGAGAGTTGCGGGGAGGGATAGGGGGGTTGAGAAAGAATGTCATGAAGCCAGGAATCCATCGCCCAGAGAAGGCAAGACATGCAGAAAGGAGTGACAGCTTGCCAGTTTGGATGTCAAGCCCTGGTGGCTTCTGAGAGCATCTGCAGAGGAATAGTGAGGCCTCCTTGTTAGGGATGGGGGTGGGGAGAGGTGGCCAGGGTGTACAGGCAGGGGGAGGGGCACTTCCAAGAAGTGTGACAGAAGGGCAGGAGGGGGTTAGGAGAGTTACTTTGCAGGAGGTGAGCTTGGCTGAAAGTTTTTTAGGAAAAGGGAGACCTGAACACGTTTGTAGGCGGTGGAGAGTGAAGAGTAGAAAAGAAGAAATTGTGGCTGCAGGAGATGGGGGGCACTTGAGGGAGGAAGGTCCCAGCAGGGGAAGGGGAGAGGGATTGGGTCCGGGCCCACGAGCTTCCCTGAAAGGAGAGGAAAGGGAAAGTTGGGTAACTGCAGTCTAGGGGCCTTTGGAGCTGGCCGATTGGGAGGCTTCTATTTTCCCAGGAAAAGTGAGAGATAAGGTCATATACAGACCCTACAGGTGGGTTAGGCAGAGACTGAAGAGAGTAGAAAGGACTGGACCGGTCGGGGTGGGGGGGGTGCGGGGGTGGGAGTGTGGCGCGGGGGAGGGGGGGAGAATGGAGAGCTTCTACGTGTCCTGGAGCCTCAGGCTGAACCTGGAGGTGGCCCAGGCACCCTGCCCTCGAACACCAGTTGCGGGTGGGTACAGAGTGGGGTAACGACTGCCTCTCAGAGTGGTCACTGCCCAGGGAGGGAGACGAGGGGTCCAAGATGAGCCAGGTCACAGGTTACAAGGTCTTGCACTGAGACCCCCACTCGCCTGTGCACGAACACTGTCCCACAGACGCAGGCACTCGGAAAGACGATTCAGAATAATGATGTCCCTGCTCTGTCCCCTGCCCCGTGCCCATCCCCTAGATTGGGTCTCCTCGCCTTCTGCCCTGAGCCACATTCCATCAGGAACCTGCACACCAGCGCCTGGTGTGTTAGAAAGCACGCTGCGGAAATTGTTAATATCTTACCCTTCCAGGGACATGGCATTTTAATTTGGGGCTAACCTTGACGAGTGAAGGTCTTACTCGTTAAATATTAAGCCAGCAGGGAATATGTTTTGGGGTGGAGTAGGAGTGTGGGGTGGGGGGAGAAGGAGAGAGGGAGAGAGGGAGGGGAGGGGAAGGGGGGAGGGGAAAGAAAGGGAGAGAGAGCGTTCTTGCTTTCTCCCACTCCCAAATCACATCACGCCCAGCAAACGCTTACTCCACCCACTCGTAGCCCCTCCCCCAAAGCCAATTTCCTCGCGCGTCCGCACCCGTGCACACCCCTCGTTTCTGCACGTGCGCTCCCAGGCCCGGGCCGGTGGACAGACACAGACCGGGAGGGCAGACTGCAGCAGGAAGGGAGGGCGCAAAGGGAGGAAAGGGGAAGAGC